TTCGTAAAATTTTTGTAATATTTGCTCCAATTGATTTGTGATATAGTTTTTTAAATTCTGATTTGAGTTTTTTTTAATTTTTTTTATCTGCTATAAAACTTACCTATATGTTTTTAACATACACAATTACACGTCTCGTTATATCTCCGTACAGTATAAAAATTATACAGATCATACTGTGAATAGTTCTGACTGACAACGAAACGCATTAGCAAGCAAGGGGGATGTCAGTGTTAGTCGGGAACTATTGTGAACTAAAGACCTAGTTCAAGGAACTATTCCTCTGGAGGAACTAGAACTAGGGAACTAGTTCCTCCCAAGGAACTAGAATTCCCACATCTAATCCACCCTCACAAGTTGACTTCTGTTGCTCAATAATAAAGTTATCTACTGACACTAAATCATGTAAATGAAAATATCTAGGAAAATCTTTGTTTGAGGGGTAGGCAACCAGTAGTATTTTTAAAAGACATGAATTCCCCATTGAATATCGGAATAATATACTGGGTGTTCCATTTAAAATAAAAGAGTAACTTGCTTGTAAAGGTGACCAATGTTCAATATTAATTTTGTCTCACCCTGTATAACTTTCTGGATCAAGTTTTAATTTAATTTAAAGTACTATAGTTAATTTAACTACATATTAGGCTATACCGTGTAAATTCCAAATTAGGTAGCTTTTATTGTAATTTAAAAATAGTTCTTCATTTTCACAAAATGGGAAATATGTCAAAAATCCTTAGATTTTAGGTGTATGCTTCTTTAATAAAACTCACCTTTATTTTTCTTAGAATCCGAAAATCAATTAATATATAGGGTGTTCCATTACAAAAACACAACTTTGATATGTAACTTTTGTGGGGGACACCCTGAAGAACTCTCTATATTTTTAAAAAGTGCTCTGAATTAATCTACATATGCTCACAAAATTTCATTTCAATACAAAGTGTCTTTCTCCTTTTAGCCTCCGCGTCGTATGAAGGCGCCACCCTGTATAATTAAAAAATACTGCAATTTTATGATTAATTTATTTACTTATTATTAATTTCTTTTTAGGTGTGAAAGTCTGAGCCTAAACGACATGCTCTACGGCGGCGGCACCACCCAAGACCTCCACGACAACAGCAGCATCTACTCGGAACCGGCCTACGTCCAGGAAAAATTCTGCGAAAACTGCAAAATCAGTATGACCCGACCAAACACCGTCCAGAACTGGTACGAGAACGCGTTCCTCAGTGCCAGCACCCAAGACCTCTCCCGTCACAACGAACCGCACAGCAGAACCAGCAGCCGGTTCCAAAGGAACCACTGCCACACGAAAACCACCTCCAGCAGCATTAGGGAAACTAACCTGGCTTTTTTACGACATCCCGACGGCGCATCCAACCCCAATTTACTCAAAGAGACAGCGTTTAAGTCGACGAGTGGATGTGATGCGCCGTCAGGCACCGAGACTGAGTCGAGGGGAAGTATTACTGCGCAGCCTCCGTCTGTGCCGTGCTCGCTGCCCGTGACGGAGCGGGTGAACAGGGCTGTGTTGAATTTGGAGACGGGCATTACGGCGGTCAAGTTGGGCAGTCAGAAGAACGAAGAGTACGACTCTGGGCATGACTCGACGCCTAGGACTTCGAAGCATAGTCCGGCTGCTATATCTAGGAGAGCTGAAAGTGGGTACGATTCTGTGGTAAGTGTTAGTTTTTAAGAAAAAAAAAATTAATTCAAACTCCTATATCTTTGTTATTTTTAGCCCTATTTTCATGATTTTTTAAGGTGTATACAGGGTGGCCCATCGAAAACGTTCCGCAAGGCCTAACGGCCAGGGTATTTATTTTTTCAAAAAATCAAAAAACACGTCAATTTTGTTTGTGAGGGGGACAACTTTTGCCCCAAAAATGATTGCAAAATATTCAACCCTCTAAGCGGGGGTGTCGTTATGCCTTGCGGAACGTTTTCGATGGGCTACCCTGTATAATTATATCAACTTTAATTCGTACACTAAGTTTTTTATAAACTTTAGTATTTGGCATATTATACAGGGTTAATCGAGAGGTTGTTTTTTTTACTCTAACTTTAAAACACCCTGTGCAATAATTTCGTGTGTAAATTTTCCTAAAATTTTTTTTTCTGTTTTTTGTAGGTGCGTGACAGTGAAAGCAGCTCCATCGACTCAGAACCTACAAGGTTCGCTCACGTGGGCAGAAGAGGCAAATGCAAGCACAAACATGAAAAAAGCTTCTGCTCGTGGTTCCTCAACCCCTTCACCTGTAAATACATAGACGAACCCCCCGAAACGCACTTCTAGGGGTAAATTTGACGAATTTAAACGTATACTCTTCTAAAAAGGGTCTAAATATCTGT